AGAAAATGAGGTCAAAGTCAAAGGTCAAGGTAATTTTTTTGCTTTTGCTTGTGCATGCTAGTCCTAAGAAACTTTAAAATATATCAGCAAAAGATGTTTACTAAATTGTTAGTTGCCGATTTGAAGTAAAAGGAAAAGTTTTTTTTCGAAGCGGTGCGGTATCATTTAGTGGGACTTTTCTCCCCTGGAATGTAAAAAAATAAGATGTATGGTAATATCACTTGTTAACAATACATAGTAGATACCTAAGGTCTTTGCTTGATGACCTTGAAAATGAGGTCAAGGTTATATGTAAATTTGACGTTCTAGAATATAACTTTTGCTTTTACTTCATATTTATACATCATCAACCCATGGAAATTATAGGCATTAGCTTGCAAACAATGACCTTCAAAAGGCCAACTGGGTGTGACCTTGTGTAAGCTGGAAGAAGATATTTCTTTATACTTATATAATGTAAAAGTATATAGAACCATATATTTTTGGAATCAGTGTCAAATATACTATCATATAATATGATACTAGTGTTTTTGACGGTTAATCGGTAAACCAGTTAACCGTCTGAAGGACGGAATATAGAGTACCAAAGTCGCGAACCGGTTAACCGTTCCTTTTCAATTCTGATTGTTTTGATATAAATGTGTATTGAAATCTTTAATTACTTTTTAAAATGATAGTCTTGTTTATTAGTTTGACAGATTTACTGTCCAGTATATTGGTTCCTATTGTTAACCTTGATAACACTCAAATTTACAAATTAATTAACACAAAAACAACTTGTCTATCAGTTCCGGGCAATATTTAAAGTAAACATAATTAGTGTACATGTATTTCGAACAGTTGTAAGCTGATTACATTTTATGAATTGTTTCATTATTTTACTGTTACCAACATGTAAAAATGCCATCTGCATCTTTTAAAGCTTTGTCCTACTTAACACGAAATGCCGACTCAAATGGTAAAATGCAAATTATGCGAATGGAGTAAATGTATAATATTGTGTGCCATTAGTGACACGCTTAACTATCTCAAATTGAAACACTCCACAGAATTTTCTGAGTCACCAGAGAAATTGAAACAATCACCGGTTATAGACATAGACTATGCCAATTCGCCGAGATTAAGACGATTTTCATCTTCTCAATCTGAAGTTATTACAAATGCCAAAAAAAAAAAGTAAATGTGGTAGTATTAGATTATTAAAGATACAACTTCACCAGGACTGCTCAAGGCCAATCCATATATTGTCCAAACATAAACTTCAATTCATCTTATTATAAAACCGTGTATTTGTAGAGTACAGGGGACCTTTAAAACATCAACTTTAGCTATCATCTGACACTGGAAATCACGTTTTAAACTGGATTTGATTTTTTCATATCAAAATATATCTTTTCAAGTGGAAAGACCAATTGTTTTCTAAACAACTGGTTTTTAATCATTATTTTTTTCTTCTTCCAAACCCTTTTCTTGTAGTGGTTTTGCAAGGTGTAGATAATATTTTTGCCACAGGATAGCGAACAGTATTTGCGCTTTTCAAACTAACCCTGTTTAACCGAACACTTTGTGATGTGAGAGTAATCTCCCCAACACTGTTTTTCTTAAGTGCTGATCTCTTTCGCAACTGTAAAACAATCGACATTTTTTTCCAGAATTGCATGTTATATCTTCAGAATGTTTCGGTCAATTTCAACCGAATTAATACTGAGACTCTATATGAGAGTTATTTCCCCTTTTGAATTTGACATAAGTAATATATAAATGTCACTGATGAACTGTTGGTGATAAAGAACTAGGGTATCTTGAATTGAGATCCTTGGTGGATTAAAAAGAAAATGGTGTCAAGGTCATACGTAAAGGTCATGTTCTCAATGTTGCCATTGCTAAAAGCCATATATCATTTTTGAATGCATATGTAAAATAAAAAATCATAAGATATCGGAGGTGACCTAATTTTAACCGGAAGAAGTTTGTTATCTACCTTATCTTAGGCAAAGTATATAGAAAACGTATATTTTTGTAATCAGCAAGAATAAATGTATCATTTGTGCATGTTGTGACCCGTAGTGACATTTCCTTATAATTATCTCCCTTATTTCACCTAAAAGTATAAAGAGACTATATTTTTTTTGTAATTAGTGACAATAAAGCTTTCACATGAAACTGAAAGAGACATTTTTTAGACCGGAAATAGCAAAATATTTCCATTGTTTTTTACAAAGCCGCATATTTTTTGAATGTTTATGAAGAACCTTATGATTGGGCGGCAATAGTTACTGAGTAAACCGGAAGTAGCTTATAATCTTTTTTATAGAAATGTAGTGTTGAAAGACCTTCAAATGTTCTATGAACAATTCGTTTCTAACTATTTTTATAAATAATATATATTATAAGGGTTTATCGTAACTTTCTTTAGTGTTGTTTGTACGAAACAAATCTCATTCAAGGTATTTTCCCTAGAATAGTTTTGAACTGTCCTAGCCTAAAACTGAATTTGACAGTTCTACCCTAGAACAGATATTGTCAGTTCTATTTCAAGATCAGTTTTGGCCAACCCTTATTTATTGATATAGGTACACTGCATGAAAGTATTAATTTAAGGTATCAATAAACTACTTGAAAATCAGTCGTAGTTTCCGAGTTTATTTTTTTTCTGGTAGTTTATAGTTCAAGTAAACGCAATGTTTAATAGTAGTTTACAAATAGTTTACTTGACGCAGTAAGTTCATGAATTGACACCTGATTTACTGTCCAGTAATTTTCGAATTTAACAAAGTTTAATATACATACAACATCAAATTTAATGTAGAGAAAATCTGTAAAACATGATTTACTACAAATTAAAGTCAATAATATTCCAAACAGTAAGCTGTTTACTGTGGTTTTAAATCTGATTCAACATCGAGTTACAAATTTAATACAACGATAAACTTTCATTTAATGCAAATTGAAATCAAATTCAACTTCAAGTTTAAAGATTTAATGTGTGAAATAACTTGATTTACTTAAAATTTAAACTCATTTTGACTCCATTTACTATCAAAAATCTTTGTAATCTCCGTGTTTGGTGCACCAAATATATGCCAATTGACCTGCAAATTCACGACAGAAAACAGTATATATTTGCAGCTTTCATCCACATATGACCAGTAACAGTTCTTACAATCGAATCCTATTATAATGCAAAATATATTTGTTTATACAAACATACTTCAGTATAACAAACAAAGCCATAATTGTACACCCTAAGTTGCCACAACCCATAATTCGAATTAAACACTCATGATTGTCTCAAAATATAAGATATTACAGTGAGAGGAGCAACTGGAAATTCATAAAAAAAAGCTGCCCTTAATGGAGATCTAGACTATGGCGAAATCCTGAATAAAAAAAAAACAATTATCTAGAATCTTAGCTAAATTTATTCATTATTTTCAATTTACAAATACATGACAAATTAAAGTACTAACATTCCATTCTATAATAATTTAAAAAAAAAAAACATCTACATACATAACAAAATTATAAAACTCTAATTTTGTGCATTTTTGTTTGTTTTTGCTAAAGCTGTTTTTAAGGAACAAAAACATATCAATTCCATGATGTAAAAGGACTGAGTATTTAAATATAATAAGCAGAAACATATTTGCAGAATTCTCTTTGTTGTGGTTGTTTTGATTGTCTTACCTAATTACAACTATCAACTATTTTAATAGAAAGAGTTATTTCCCTTTGAATACAAAGATTCGAGCTGAATAATAAAATCCAACGTAATTTGGAGGGTTTAACAAGCACCCAATTAAATACAACCCCTTTCTTATTAAAATAAAAAAATCAAGACCTTAATACTTATTTTTTATAAGAATATTAATAATTATAAACGTGTAAACCTTTAAGCTAAAAAAAAAAAAACAAATTTCTTCAATTTTTAAAGATACGAAAAATATTCTTATTTTAACAAGAGTTGTTTCCCTTTCATTGCTTACTGTTTTGAATCCATCGAAGAAAAAAAAAAGATTCACATATAAGATCCCAGTTACATGTCTATATGTTTTATCAGTGCAATTAATTTCAAAATATATATTTGATTATGCTCGCGTGGACATCAATATAATATAAAAAATACACAATGAAGAGCTTCACCACTAAAACAAGGATTTTAAATGTAAAACCAACTGTTGTATACATGCATTGTATGATTGCTTACATCAGGGTACCAGATAAAATTTACTGCTATCTAGCTTTTTCTTGTTAATATTGTATAATTACGCACAAAAGAAATATTTAAAACATTGAAATTTAATATATACCAAGTTTCTTAATATTTCGAAGAATTACCATTTTGTCTTCTTTTTTTTACTACTATGTGCAAATAATACACTGCTTATTTTCTCGGTATCACTTCCATATTTAAAAAAAAAACAAGATTTTCCATCTAAAAATGAAGATTCTATAAAAAAATATTGTTTTTAACATTTATTTTCCGTGGTGCTAGGTTACAAATAAAAAAAGTTATTATATTTTGTTTTGCCAATGAAATGTACATTGTTCGTGTTATTTTTAAATAGTTTTGCCCATTACGACAATACTGTTGTTTCAAGAAGCACTTTTCTTTACTATTTTTTATCAAAAACGTTCTCCTTCGAACCGTTTGTTGTTGTTGAAGACGGTATGTTGACGTCCGACATGAAGATGTATTTTTTCTCTTTCTGTTCGCATTTATTTGATTTCGTGATGACTGAAATATGTTAATATAAGAATAGAACGATATATCAGATTTTTTGTTTTTTTAGTTTTGGACAAATAATTGTGTAAAAATTATTAACAATTACATGTAGCATTTACTTTGGTCGGTAAAAGTTGCATACTTAAAATGAATAAAGTTTAATCATTGACATTAATTTTAAACTATTTAAACACCCATTCATGTTCTGGCACGACTTCTGGTTTTATCCTTGTTGAAACTGCCTCAACCTTTCGTTGATGGTGCTGCCGTCTGCTTTTCTTGGTTAGTTGACCATCATGCTTTTGGCCTAGTTTTTTTACTAATTTATCAACATCATCAGACCTCCAAGGCAGAGGACTGACGATAAACGATCCTTCGTCTTATGAATCTGTTTGTTCATAAGACATGTTCTGCACCACAAGGCTTTTCGAGCCCTTTTCTTTTTGTTCCTCTGGTATACTGGACTTTTACTTTTAGGGCCTTTTTTCTGTTGTTTAATTTCTAAAAAAAAGAGAATAGAGCTCAAATCAAAATTCCTTGAATTTCATTTTGAATACATACAAATAGATTCCATATATGCCGTAATGACTCTCTTTCAATAAAGATATTATTATCATTATTATTATTATTATAACCTCAGCAAAAAGCAGTCTGTAAAAACAATACTAGTGATTACTGTGACAGAAAGCATGCTGTATATTATTTATGAATATAATATAATCCAACAGAACACTCAATTCCTAGCATTTAATTTCTCTCTTTTTGAGTATTGAAAATTCAATTGTCGAGAGTGGAGAAATATTATATTGCACGAGATTTGGTGTTGGATTCTGTTTCTATTTTGATTTTTAGACGTTACGTAGACAAACTTTTTCACTGATCTGCAAAATGAGGTATATATATATATATGTGACGTCGTTAGATATGGTCATCTTTTTCCTTTTTTTATTGTAGCGTCACAAAAGGAATTTAGTGAAAATAAAAAAAATGAAGTTAAAAGGGGGTTCCCTGTTTAAAGTGAAATAAGTATATAATATTAAATAAAAATCCCGTCTAAATCCGCTTCTTATGTTGACTGTAATATCTGAATTGTTCGCCATAATAAAAAAATCAGTTCTTACTCTTCTCATCTTGCTGTACACAGCCATTTTCTTGTTATGTTCTTCTTGTTTACCAGTTTCGTCTCTTCGTTTCTTTGCTTTGAACGATTCAAAATTTGTCTTTATCCCTTCTACAAAAAAAAATCTACATAAGGCAATTTAAAAGAAATATATTTTTAACATACAATTGCTTGTCTCCATTTGAGACTAAACAGTGTCACTTGGTTAGTCCATGGTAGAATGTTTTGATGTGATATGATCGAAATCAAAATAGATCTATTAAAGTTATATGATAGTATGCATTTGCTAGTATGTGATCCATTAACATAAAACTTATTTATAATATGGAAATTATATGGCGTTTCAAAATATTACTGAAAGTGTCTGCTTATATGCCCGTGCAAATGCGTAAATAAAGTAATATATAAGGAAATAAATAATATGTATATTTATTTTTCAAAATCATGAGTAAGAAAAGGAGTCCAAATCTTACGTCGCAGGAGATTCAAAAAGTTTTAACGCAAAATGGAGAAGAATAAATCTAAATATTTTGCCGACTGAGCAACACAAGTATTATTTTTATTGTAATGTACATTGTACATGAAATTATACATGAAAAGTAATTAGAATTCTAGTTGATAATCATAAGACCATCATAAGTCATGTCACGAGCTAGTGTCCTAAGTTTACGACAAAAATTATGATATATCGTAACTTGGGACACTTACGAAAACATATCTTACGACTATGACATGTCCTAAGACCATCATAAGACATGTCTTAGTCATAAGATACTTTCGAAAAACATGCCCCTGGTAACAATCATGATACGAGAATTAAGAAACTCGAAGAGAACACTATCGCCCAACCGAGTGTTCCAACAGTCATCGAATCAAAGGAAATTGAGTCACTAAAGGCAGCCATTCTTGACTTGCAATGCAGGTCAATGAAAAACAATCTGATCTTCACGGGATTGCATAGAGTTCCGGGTGAAGACACGGAAGAGCTTTGGCGATGTTTTTTATACAATGAGCTGGGGATCGACTACAAGATCGAATTCGGCAATGTCCATCGATTCAGAACAAAGGGAGACAACAGAAGAGCACCAATAGTTGCAAGATTCCTATATCACCGCGATCTGGAATATGTATTAGCAAATGCTACCAGACTTAAAGGTAGACTGTATGGAATACGGGAACAATTTCCTCATGAAATTGAACAAAAGCGGAAGGAACTGTATCCTGTGTTAAAACAGGCCAAACAGCAAAATAGACAAGCCTCTCTTGTGCGTGATAGGCTATATATAGACAATCAGCTCTACATTCCTGACACGGTATTAGAGGGCTCTAGAAAAGAGCATACCGGCTCTTCGACGACAAACCATGACACGAGGCCAAAAGGGTCTTATTCTAGTGATACCCCTCCTAGCAAAAGACAGCGACAGGGACCGTCTCCTCGTCCATCGCACGCAAATGCTCCACCGAATTCTGGCAGATAGAGGAATGGTGCAAGAGGACAACCTCAAAAGAAATCGTACAGTAATGAAACTTTGAATAAGAAATATACAATTAACAATGGTAGTTTAAATATGTGTTTCTTAAATGTGTGTGGACTTAAGAAAAGACTATTGTCTCCTGATTTCATTGACATTTTGCTTGATCATGATATTTGTATTTTTGTTGAAACGATGTTAACTGACCTAGATAATTTAAACTTACCAGACGATTATATTTATGTCACAAAAAATAGAAAAAAATTTAAAAAAGCATCAGGTGGGATAGTTGTTATTTATAGAAAGAGTTTAGAAAAAGAGTTGAAATTCCATAATACTGAGAGTCAATTTGTTTTATGGTTTCAAATTTCGAAATCAATTTTGTCACTTAATTCAGATGTAATTTTTGGCTGTGTTTATGTACCACCTGAAAATTCTAAGTATTCTACTATAGAAGCTTTTGAAGAATTGGAAAATGAATTGAATATCCTAACAAACACTGAAAATTGTTATGTTGCCCTAGTTGGCGATTTTAACTTAAAAACTGGGTCTTTACCCGATTATATTATACCTGATGAGTCAGTTGTTAGTATGTTTGATTTAGATTGTGATGCTGATATATTACAGTATTTATATGATTTTGAGAATCTGACTCAAAACAAAATCACTTGCAAAGAGTGTCTCAGTGTACATGTAGACCTAATAAGTATGGTCATAGACTGTTAGAGTTGTGCAGAAAAAATAATTTGTATATTGCTAATTCAAGAGTTAGATCAGATAAAGATATTGGGGAGAAAACATGTAACGATTCAAGTGTTGTTGATTATTTAATTATTTCATCAATGCTCTTCCCTATGATTTTTTATTTTGAAATTGCTGACTTTATACCGTTATATTCTGATTGTCATTCATTTATACATTTTAGACTTCAGGCCACATTTAGTAAACCAGATTCAATTGTTACCGACAATAGAAATGATAAAACTTTTGTCAGGTGGAAAAGTGAACAGAAATCTGAATACGCTGATCGAATTCACAATGATCCCGAAGGTATTTTAGCCACTGTTATGAATAAACTGGACGAATTGTCCGTAAATAATGATGCAACTCAAAATGATATAAACAATATAGTTTTAGATATCAGCAAAAATTTTAAAGATGCGGCGGCAGAAACGTTTGGGAAAATAAAAAAACATAAACATTTTTACAAACATGAAAAATTCAAAACCTTGGTTTAATAGAAAATGCTCGATGAGTAGAAAAAAATTTCATAAAGCTCGAAAGAGATATAGTTTTTTGAAAAATGCTGAAAACAGAAGTAAAATGAGACAAGCTAGTAAAGAACATAAAATAACATTAAATAAGGCTTTTGCAAACTATCAACAGAAGGCTGCTGATGAGTTGCGTAACATTTCTAAAAAGGATACAAAAGCTCTATGGAAAATCCTTAATAATCTAAATGATAGTAAGAAAAAAGATAACAATGACGATATATCTCTAAAAGCATTGTATGATCATTTTAAAATCCTAAATGAAAATGTCGAGCCAGAAAATGACTTCGAACAAAATTTTGACTTTGAAACTTTATCAGACGATGTTGAGTTATTTTTAAATAGTCCAGTAACCGAAGATGAAATTAAAAAGATCGTTTCGAATTTAAAAAATGGCAAAGCTTCAGGTAGTGATGAAATTTTAAATGAATATATAAAGAATACAATTGACGATTTAATGCCAATTTACGTTAAGCTATTCAATTTAATTTTAGATACTGGAATTGTCCCAGACAGTTGATCTAATGGAATCATGATAACTATATTTAAAAATAAAGGATCAAGATCCGATCCCGAAATGTACAGAGGAATCACATTAAATTCATGCTTTAGTAAAACCTTTTCTGCTATGTTGAATTACAGGTTAAATAATTATGCAGATCACGTAGACCTGATTTCAAAATCACAAGCAGGTTTTCGTAGAGGATTCTCTACTGTTGATAATATATTTGTATTGTATTCTTTAATTACTATATATTTTTCATTTGGTAAGAAGCTATTTTGCACTTTTATAGACTTTAAAAGCGCTTTTGACACTATATGGAGATCGGGATTGTGGCAAAAAATGCAAAAATCAAACATTAAAGGTAAACTATTTAATGTGATCTATAATATGTATCAAAATATAAAAACATGTGTCAAGAAAGGAAATGAATTTTCCGAATTTTTTATATCTCACACAGGAGTAAAACAAGGTGAAAATTTATCACCTTTTTTATTTTCTTTGTTCCTAAATGATTTAGAAAGTTATTTTGTGGAAAATAATATAGAAAGTCTAGATAATATTTCAAATCTGTGCTTGGAATCACTACAAATGTATGTTAAATTGTTTATTATACTGTACGCAGATGATACTGCGCTATTGTCTGAAAGTGCAGAAGGATTACAAAAAACCCTTGTATGTTTTGAAGAATATTGTAAAAAATGGAAACTAAAGATTAACACAAGCAAAACTAAAGCAGTGATTTTTAGTAAAAAGAAAGTAAAAAGAAATCAGAATTTTAGGATATATGGAGAAAACATTGAAATAGTTGATTCATACTGCTACCTTGGTATACTTTTTAATTACAATGGTAGCTTTTGTACTGCAAGAAAAAAACTTCTTGATCAGGCACAGAAGTCTTTGTATGCTCTATACCGAAAAATAAAAAATATATGTATTCCCGTCGATTTGCAGCTTAAACTTTTTGACTCATTGGTTAGTCCTGTTTTATTATATGCTTCAGAGGTATGGGGATTTGAAAGTAAAGATAGCATTGAGAAAATACACCTTCAATTTTGCAAAAATATTTTGAAATTAAGAAGCAGTACACCAAATTATATGGTGTATGGGGAACTCGGAAGATTCCCTTTGGAAATTATTGTTAAACGTAAAATGGTGATGTTTTGGAATAGTTTATTATTGGAGAATAACAAGTTATCTTCCATTATGTATAAATTAATGCTCAAATTACATTTTCAATACCCCACAAAATTTAAATGGATTACGTACGTTAAATCCATATTTGACGAAAATGGAATTAGTTTTATTTGGCAAAATCAACTTTCATTAGATAAACCTGGTTTAAAGAACATTATTTCACAAAAACTGAATGACCAATTTATCCAACATTGGTTTTCCCAAATGAATAACTCTTCAAGAGGTGCATTTTATTCACATTACAAACAGGAATTTCGTTTGGAAACCTATTTAATAAAGTTGAAGCTGTGTGACAGGATTTATATAGCAAAATTCAGATGCTCAAATTTAAAATTTCCTGTAGAAACGGGAAGATGGTCTAGAATACCAAAAAATGAGCGAATTTGTCATCTCTGTGGAAACGGGATAGGAGATGAATTTCATTATCTATTCAAATGTCAAAAACAGGAAATAAAACTGCTTAGAAATAAATATATACCAGAATTTTATACTGCAAATCCAACGGAGTACAAATTAAAACAGCTTCTAACATTTTGTCATGTAGAACTTTACAAAAACTTAGCAATATTTTTAAAAATACTTACACGATACTTATGATTTATATTTGTCTTTTTTGAGTTGAATGTTATGGTAATTTGTAAATTGACATTTTGCTGTATTTTACCATGCATGCATGCATTATTATGTGTAGTGTAAATGTATTGAGTATAAAAATGTGTATACGTGTATATACGATGTCCTCTTGTACACCTATGTGTCTGAGGTTTAATAATAAAGTATTGTCTATTGTCTATTGGTAATGGGATTACTCATTTCAACACTTGGTCCGAAATCATATGAAGTGAATTCAATGGTAATTTGGAACGCCGTGTTTCGAAATAAAAAGAGGTAAGATACAGGTGTGTAGCAACAAGGGATCGACCATGTGATTTCAAAGAGGGGGGGGGTATGGTTATTTCCTAAATAAATATTCTGAATCCAGATTTCCCCCATACCTTATAGTGTTAAATTTTGAAAAAAAAAATGTTCGCGCTTTGGGCGAAAAAAAATTCTGACTCAGACAAAAAACCATACCCCCTCTCCTCCCTTAAAGTTAAATGGTTGCTCCCTAAAACAGCACAACAAAAATACCCTCTTGTAAAAAAAAGTCGACAGTATCAATGTAATGTTAACATAAGCTAGGATTTATACAGTAACGTAACACTCCTTTCCAAAATAAAAAAAAGTATCAACTGAATTTGACTACTTTTAACTTTTTAGATGTCATTCTTAATATGACAGTTAAACATGCCTTCTAGGCTAAGCAATTGTATTGCAGAACTGCAATTTCGACTATTTTGTTTTTGGGGTTGGGGGTTGGGGTTTTTTTTTGGGGGGGGGGGGTTATGGGTGGGGGCTACAAACCTCTAACAACACCCTCCACTTGATTAGGATATTGGGCCTTTTACAAATTCTATGATGAATCCAGACTTCTCTTTGTTCTCTGCAGAATTATATCTAAAAAAAAGTAATTCGAAAAATAATCTTACTGTAAATCAAAGCTTCCTTAAATAAGAGTGTAACAAATGTCGGTAAAATTATCAATATGTGCTAAAATGTTGTTTGAATCTGAATAGAACTATGATTACCAAATATACATATATATATCCTGCAAACTTTTCACTTAAATTGACCCAAAAGCTGTGTACAAAATTAAGATTTGTACTCGAATAAGTAGAATTTCATAATTAATGATTCAAAGTAGATATATGATCAAAATTAAATCTGTTTCAATGTCGTAAATCACAAGTAATCGAGCATTTTTCCTAAAACCGTATCGTTTAATGATGAATGTGGACATACATTACATATTAAATTACATTGGTTTGAATAACAAACCATGAGATTTTTTCAATTTCCAAGAAAACTTTTAAATCATTTAATTTCATATACAAAATGTACATACTTTAAAATACTGCCAGTTTCGTTCCTTATTCTCCAGATGTAATCCTTTTCATTAATTGATAGAAGCAGTATTTCACCATAATATAAGACAAAGTATATCTATATGTCAATTGTCCGACTCAGAGGCGCTTTCATTTTTATTTAATCTGATAGATTAAACTATTTCTAAGCGTACAGGACAAGTTGTAAAAGAGATTTCGTTTCTTTTTATCTTCGTGGGGAATTATTTTCTGAACAGATTCAATTACCAGGAATGCGTCATTACATCTCATATCAATGAAGTAGATAAATATATACTTTCATTTACTATATATAATTGATTTGTCCAGATTTCAAATATCAGTATTGTTAATTTGAATTTAGTTGCAAAACGAATTAATGACCATTTTATCCTGTATTTTTGCACACCGTTGGTTTCGAAATCAGGCAGTGATTGAAACCTATGAAGATATGAAAACTTAAGAAAAAAATATACAGGAACATCGTTAACCAAAAAAGAAATGAGTATTAAAGCTATGTATCTTTTGGGTACAAACAATATATCCAATTTGGTTAATGATGTCTTGCTGTGTGCAATTTCATTTTCTCAGTTTCAAAACATTCGCCTTTGGTTTTCTTTTGGCCGTTTTATGCAAACAATTCTATTTAAGCAGACGTGCAGACACATCATCTAGCTATTAGCTGAGGTAACTGCCATAAAACTAATATTAGTTACATTTGCAACAATTCTCGACTTGATATACAAATGTATACGATTACGAAAGTTTTATTTTGATTCGGTTATTTTAACTTTAATAAACATTTACTAAAGCAATTATGTGACAGTCATTGTATTGATATATACAGCTTTAATAATAAAGGGCTTTAATGATAAATGCGGCATCACCGTAAAAGAAAACGACGTTATAAATGGCTAGTTTTTAAAACAAAAGATACACGAAATAATATTTGTCCCGGAAATGTGAAAAAAATGTTTGAACCTTTAAAGCAAAACGTTTTTTACACACAAAAACATCTTTTAAATATTTTTTTTTCAATGTGTGTTATGATGGTCACTTGTCTAACACTGTTCTAACAAAAAACCCTTGGTACTTGGAACAGGACACTTTTGTTTTAGCCCTCCCCTTTTTTCTGTAATTTGTTATTTTTTTTGGGTTTCTTATAATTTCATTTTTTTCTCGCGTTTTTCTATTTCATATGAACATAAATATACTAGAAATAACTTGTATTTGCAATTTTATATCAGTTCTAAAGTAAACTTGGAATTGGTAGATAATAGCAAATACAAGTTATTTCTAGTATATTTATGTTCATGTAATACAAAAAAAAAATGCAAAAATAATTGAAATTAATAGAAAACAAAAAATAACAAATTTTAGGAAAAAAAGGGGGCGGGCTAAAAAAAAAGTGTCCTGTCCCCAAGTACCTTTGACAAAAACGTATCCGTTGTAAGCAGACAGATAGACAAAATTAAATCATAACATATTACACTTAAGAAACACTTCATTGTTGAAATTTTCATCGATTTTTTAAGTTTTACCTTGTTTACTGATGCTGTAGTCTGTTCTTTTCTTGATATACCCTCTGTGACAGGAGTAGGTGACCTGCTAGAACGAACTTCTCCAGATAAAGGTGTTCTAAGGAAAGTCGGAATGATTGTCCTGCTGGAACATGGTGTACTTGCCAAATTGGTTGGGGTATTAGAATAACTTCGAAATTGACGGTGTACTAGAACGACTGACTGTTACTCTACTGCATTCCAAAACACTCATGGACTCATCGGGTATATCCTCTGGCCCTCCACATGCTCCTGCCATATTATCACTGGTTGTTGTTTCCCCTTTCTGACTTTTGCTGCTGTTTTCATCTTCGCCAGATGAATAGTAACGTAGATGAAGGCTTTCATCTTCCATAGATATGTATATATGTATCAGAAAAAACATCACGAAAAACTACTTATCAGATTTAAACAAGTTGCTTTCTTTAAAAAAAAGAAAAGCAACACGTGAACCCGAGACCACTGACTGGTCACCAAATATTTGTTGCTGAATTTATTTTTGCTTTTGATTTGAAATAATTGACTGTTGATAGAATGAGGTAATAAAAAAAATTAAATTACCTTTATTGAAAATATGTTATTGTGTGTAGATTCGTGCACAAGTCAATTAAAATCATTGCTGGAGTTTAGTTGTAAATAGAAAATTGTATACAATTACAATTTGAAACTACCTTTTAAGGCTTGACTATTTTATTTATTACTTGGAAGTGTACATCATTATTTCTCTGTGTGTTATATACAAAGAACTAATCCTATTCCAATTCTCAATTTCTGCAAAACGGACGAAAAAGACCAACAGATCTAGACAAACAATATATATAATAGTACACAAAACACAACATAGATAAGAAATGCAAAAAAGAATCACCTTCGACGAGTGAAATCAATGTTTATGCATGCGCGTACTTTTCTTGCGCAAGAAATAGTAAATGGTTAGCATACACACTGATATTCTGAAAAAAAAAATATCATGCATTTGCGTCATCACGTATATTTATTCTAGGTTCAAATCTAATGTTAGTTGAATTCGGATGTCAAACTGCCTACCTCAAGTGGTTTGCGGATTCATTGCCATTCAATACGGCATTTGTGTTAATTTGTGATAATTCTTTTGAACACTTAACATTATTAACACTTATCAATGGACAGAAATCAGAAAAAAATATGAATTCAATCTCAAGCTTCCAGTGTCTTTTAGATATATATAGATGTTTAGGTTCACAAATAAGCACAATAAACAGGCTCAGATCCAGGATTTGATGTAAAGGGGGAGTTGGGGTGCCCCTGAGGATGAGAATAGGACAAAACTTTAACAAACAAAAATTGGCTGTAATTTCACCTATAAATTACATTTTTTTTTTCTGTCGCTAGGAGGCGCGCGCCTTGTGAATCCGCCCCTGATAAACAATGTACTTTAACTTCTCCTATCCGACATCTTAATTCAAATTACATTCTTGAACCTGACTTATAAAACACTTGAATACTGCCGAATTGCAAATAAAAACCTATGTAAATATATGCAGTATCAGACCTTTTTCAGTTAAACCCCCCTTTTTGTACATATACAGCTGCCAAAAAGATTTCCAATAATGTCTTTTTAAAACCCCCATATCTATAGTTCTTCGATATTTAGGTGAAAGATTTAATCCCACCACTCGGATGCACGGAATATCAAATGAACATGTGATCTCCACCGAAGTTTAAAATTACGTTAATTAATAGCTTTTGATAGGCTGATATTTTCTCTTTTTGTTAATATAAAACGGCTATAAACCACACATCCCATATAGCCTAATATGGGCCGACACTATTTTAGTGTTTCTGCAGTTAAAGCCATTGATGGTCATCCTAAGATGCATTACTTTTATATTATCAAATATAAAAATTATTTATATAAGTATCAATATATTCATATTAAAATTCTTCATCAATTAAATTATTGGTATTAGGCAGATCTGCCAGCATCATATGTACTGACACCCTACGGATCCAGAAAGTATTTGCAAAATTCAATAGGGGGATGAATCCGTAAAGGGGGACTAGGGGGTCAGTATCAAACCATATAACTTATAGTATGAGCTAGCACATATAATGCTTGAAATATAAAGACATTAATATTGTTTAACTTATTCAGGAAAAGATGCCAGCAATGTAAACGTGACCTCTCTGCCGTATATTAAAATAGTTTGTTTCTGCCTTGTTCTTTATCGCATGCCCTTGCTTCTTTTTATGTTGCTAGGAAAGTATTCGGACGGAGAATGAAGGATACAAATCATAATTGTAATCAAAACATATTCTCCAAGAAAATTTATTATAACTTAACGATGAACACAATATAAAATTAAGGAGATGTGGTATATGCTTATCAATGAGACTACTATCCATTAAAGTTCATATGAAGTGGATTTAAACAATTATAGGCAACCGTACGTCCTTCAACAATGAGAAAAACCCATAGTCGGCAATAAAAGGCCCCGAAAAGCCAACATTATCATGGCCCATCAACAGTTTTGCAATTTTTATCGACAGAAACGATTTTGTACCATAAATTCACATAAACTTCAACTAACAATACGTATAAAAGTTATCGATGCGCTTCAAAGAAATGAACTAAAACTGTTCCGGATCTTAAAGGATAAGCAAATCATGCTTCGCATATGACACCCGTCGTGTTGTTCATTTATGAACAAATTCGATAAAAAGTCTCATTCCGTGATGTAACATTCGAGGAAAACAGGACGAGTTGTGATCAAGACAATACTCTAACGGTGACATATCGGTGGTAATCTGTGACACATATATTACTGAACTGTAACCAACACGTGATGGCGTCCGTAACTTTTTCGAAAGGATTACTGTAACTATATCACGTGAAACCCATGGGTTAATAGCTTCCTTTTAATTATCAAGAAGACCCCATG